TTTTTATATTATATTTATGTTATGTATTATATTTATTTGTATATTTACAAAATATAAACATTTATTTGTTTTCTTTTGCTACAAATATAAAAAAACGTAGCCAGAATAAAAAAGGAAAAATATCTTTTATGCATATTATATCATAAGTTAGCTTTTGTTACAATATATCCCATTTTAAGCAAAAAAATAATTTGAAGATTTGTGTCTATAACCAAAACATATCAATATTATTTCATTATTAATAATTTAACAATTTCCTCATGTCATCATTAATGTCGTCAACACATCTACATTTTAATAATATAAAGAATATTAAGTTGATCGCAGATTTATTTTTTGATTCAACAAATATTTTTAGAGTTATTGGCTTGTAACACTATATATGGGCTACTCTATATATTAATCAATAAAAAATGATTTCCGTTATAATAATAAAAAAACTCGAATTTTAATTACAAACCATAGTTAGTTTGCAATTAAATATTTTTTTTAATTAACAATGTAACAAGCCATCAATTACTATACAACCTACAGTGACAGATTCTAAGTGAACTCAGTGAAAGCGTTTTATTAACAATCAAGATTCCTTCGCGATTCGATCACCTACGTGAAAAAAATGCCACCTTCCACTTTCAGGTTTTGGACAGGGCGCAATATCCTGATCCTCAATATTAGAAGACGACGTTTGATACATAATATTTTGAGATTCCTTTTTTAAAATAACAAATTTGATAGCACAGTTGTCCCAACATACGGTTCCTTAAAATTTCCTCATAATCGATCATACATTTTCGATCGAATTTACTTAGACGACTGTGAAAGCTAATGCAAATAATACATATATTTTATTTTTATCTTTTTTTGCTTTAACACACAAACGATTACGATATTTTAAATTATTATCATATCTGCTATATGACAATGAAAATATCAAAATAGCAAATATCAATTTAATTTAATAATAGTATCATATATATTATCTATATAAAATTAAATAATCATCGCTTTTCAAGATCAGCCAAATCGTTTTTTTACACGACACAATCAGATAAAAGAGAGACGCCTGGGGCATCGGTGCGTTTTCGATTGTAATCGTCCTTACGATTAACCGCGATTTTCACTTTTGTATGCCTTGGAAAGGAAACCGTTTTGCTCACACACGCAGTCAAGAATATGAGCCACTAGCCGACTCTGTCGACTAATACTCTACCTTATCTTACACGTTCAAATTCTTATCGCGGAGGAAAAAACAGAACAACGTCAATTATCGTGTGCCAGTTATCGCGCGACTATGCATATCATTGTGATGTCCTCAGAAATCAGCTGATTGTCAGTCATACAAATAGACAAAACGCTTTTAGATGTATTTAATTTTTATGTGATATGAACGCGATATATAATTCCTTGATTTTACCAGCCTCCATATATTTTCTTCTATTTATATTTATTTCACAAAATGATAAAAAATAACATTTAAAAATAAAATTTATAAATTTATAAAAAACAGATATAAAAATAGAAAGTGTAAAAAATAGATATGCACAAAGTAAAATTTAAACTTCAAGATTCAGAGATATTTCTTCGAATATAATTTAACCTGATTGTGTAATGATCTTAAAAAAAAAATTTGTTTTAGAGTATCCAATTAAAACACAGAATATTATCAGCATTAATTTTTTACGTAGTACATTATCGTCAATGAGATATTCCTATGTTCGGCAGGTAATGTACTTCTCTCGGCTGTTTCTATTCGTGAATAATAGCACCTTCCTTGAGCCGTTATATCGCGGTTCGTGTAACAAGAATGTCGAACACATCAAAGCACTGTACGTGATTATGTAAACGCACGATACTTCTTCGTTCTATGACACATGCTTTTCAAAATGCATACAGCATGTGAGAATGAATGAAATATATTTTGCTCATTTAATGCATCGCAATAATAAAAAAAAAAAAAACGAACATAATAATGTCCGAATATTTTAGTACATAATCTTGCAATTTAATTGGCATAAATATTTCGACAATTGGGAACTGTACTTTATCTTCTCTATATGATAAGCTTTTTACCGCAATATTGTGAAACTCATAAAATATTGCAGCTAATCGACCTATATAATAAATCGACCTTTTATAATATCATTTTCTTTTATATTTTAAAAATTAAAAAAATAAGAAACCAGAACTCTCGCAAAATTATAAATTAATATCAGAAATATACTTTTTATCTCAAGACATTTTTCACATGCAAAGCATAAAGTTCTCTTTGATATTGATAATTTTTTCTTTGCACACGCGCGTAGAGCTGCGAGCTTTGATATATGTATAAAGCTATCTACATATATCTTAACCTTTGGAGAATATGCAATCAAAAAAGTTATTAGTTACAATGCAAATTCCGTCGTAACGGCGTTTACCGGAAGCGAGTACACAACGACGGAAGCGAGTCACGGACTTGTAAGCACACTTTCCATAGCTTTACGGTCTCTAATCCATCTCTTCAAATTACTTCCTCGTGAAAAATACAGGGATACGCGAACTTACGTGCGTCATGGCTCGCAACTGTCATCATGTTATCAGTTCAAGACAGTTGTAAACATATAAAAAAAAAAAATACTATATCTTGAAAGAAATGACAGTCTCATTGTCGATCATTTAGACATTTGTTATGCATATTAATTCAGAGAAAGAAAGAAATAAGAAGAGCATTGGGTCTCGCTGATTTTGTCATGTCAATACAAGCAAAATTTTTTATGAAGAATATTCATTTATATACAAAAAGTTATATTCAAAAAATCATAAATAAGAAAACTAAATTTTAGTAATACAATAATTTGCGATTATTTGTAGGTGATAATTATATTTTATTTATAGGAAGTACGCTATACATCATCCGTTAAAATCTTTTAATTTGTACAATTCTTTCTCATATTTTAAAATAATAATAATAATTTAATATTAAAACAAGAATGGCAAAACTCTTTGATATTAAGCTATAATATTGTGATAAAAGAAGAGCAACAAAATGAGAGCCTAAAAGCACAATACAAAAAAATTCATACTTGTATCAAAACAATTTATTTTTGTTAATATCAATTTTTAATTATGTAATTAAATATTAGTTATATATTAATATTGTTACTATTTAATTAATTATTATTAATAACACTAATTAAATATTATTATTGACATAAAAATATTCGTTATTGTCAAGTTGGAAATAATGCAATCTCATATCTTTTCCGATGCGAGCGGCTTATCAATTTGCGCCGTATTGATTTAAATAAAAATTAATCCATACCTCTAGTTTTTCATTTTTTATCAGATATAATTTCTCATAAATAATTATCAAATTCCATATCAAATTATTAATTTTATTTTCATTAAAAACATGGTACATTTACATCATTTTCAATATTTCCTTCTGATATACAAATATAATTTGAATTATATAATCAGTTAGAATTCTTTGAAAATGCCGACAGAAACTGCTTATCTAATTAAATTTAATTAGCTAGCATTTAGATCGTGTAGATCGATGCGTGTTTTATTAACTCAATTCCTGGCAATGATACATATCTTAAAAGACTTGGTTACAGAAATAATATTAAATTTGCGCAAAGAGAAGTGTGTTAGATATATGCTGCAAAAAGAGGCATAATAATAACACACTTGAAAGTAATAAACTCATTACTCACTGCCGCGATATAATTACACGCTATAATTATTTTGTTTCGTGCGGCGCAAGCAAGCGTTTTGATCTCGCAGATATCATTTTAATGACGCGTGCATCATTTGGATCAAATAATCGCGCGCATCAGTCGTAATTAATATACGATTTATTTATGGCTACTTCGTGACACTTGGAAGCAATACAGCGTGCAAGATTTATTTCATAGTTTATTATGCGTGCAAAATTTCGCGTAAGTTTCATTATTCGAAAAAGATAGTCGCATGTTACGATTGTGAATGTATATATAAATGCAGATTTCTTCTGCAAATCATATCTTTTTGATGAAGAATGTTGTTTAATTCTACATTGAGAACTTTTTTGTAACTTTTTCAGTGTGTGTGATATTGCACTTCGTAGAATCTAAAAAATCCATTCTGTCTCTTTATGGCACAATTTTTTTTTAACATATTTTATTGAAACTTGATATATCGAGGTTTTTGGAATCGCTGATATGATACAAATATGATACAAATATGAAGTCAAAATTTAAAACTAGCCTTTTTATTAAAATATTTTTAATTTTCCATTTTTAAATTTATCTTTAATTATTTCTGAAAAAAAAATTTTTAATAATTTTGAAATTATTAATTTTGTATAATTTTGTGAAGAGCCGGTTTCTATTACATCAATGTATGCACTATTCTTTCAAATTATGATCGAAATAAATGCCTCCTTGCAATTAGGTCAATTCACTTGAATAATTATGGCGCGGCGTATTATGACACTATACTTTCAACTATGACGAAACTATCACGACATAAGCATCTTCTATGGACAAAAAATGCGAAATGTATTCAGCATATAAATTCGTATTTTCCTAAATACAAAGTATGTATAACATTACTCTTCTAAACATCTGTCCGCAATGAATGCTATATCCATTATGATTTAGTGGCTAATTAAATGTCGAGTAAAGTGTATCATTTTAAGGCATTTAATAATTTCTATATATTTGTGAGTTTTTTTATAGATTTAATAATTTATAAATAACATATTTATATACATTGTAAGCTTTTTAAATATTAAATATTTTTTACAAAAAGCTAAGACTTTTTAAAAAACCGACTCTAAAGATTCGGCGCTTTATAAAGAAGCTAAGTCTATCTATGCAAAAACTAATCTTATAAAAAAATCTGTAATATAGATAGACATCGTAAAGAAAAAAACAAGCTTTCTCGCGTGTGGTTAAAATACATCCAAAACAGTTGCATAGCACATCTTGTGATTACGTATTCGATATCTGCATGCTAATAAATTCGTCTATAGTGAAACACTTGTAACAATGAACAATGAAAAATAAGCTGAATTACCGCACATTATCCCTTTCTATTTCATACCACGTCTGTATCTTTCTCCTTGTTCAGCTTTGATCTTGTCTTTTCCTCTCTCTTCTTTATGAGTATACTCTCACCAAAGATATTTGAGTGAAACTTTAATGTGCGCCCTTCCCCCTTATCGACATCAGTTGAATCATTGATTAATCGATCTATCAGCTGTTATATGAAAATTGAATCTTCTATCACCAATAAAAATAACTTTCTTATTAGCTACTGTTATTTTCTCTTTCACTCTCTCTTTCTCTTTTTTATATATTTTTATTAAAGTGTTATCCATAATTTATATCTGCTAATTAATGATTGAATCATAATATTAAAAATAAAAATTGCAGAGTAGGAATATATCAAAGCAAAATGTAATTGCTAAAAATGTAACTGCGTGTCTAACATACAAATTGATTTTATATTAATGCCTATTTTAGATTTTATATTAATATAATTATTTATGTTATATTAATATCTGTTAACATAATTATATTAACTTCTATATATATATACATGTAATACTTCGTTCTTTAATAAATAAAAAAAATTATTATTTACTGCAACTTTTAAATTTTTAAAACTAAGCACATTGATAATCCAGATTTGAATTAGAATTTCGTTCATTTAAAAATCTGGAAAATTGAATTCATAAAAATAATTTTGTTTTTTCTTCAAATGATGCCAAACGTTTTCCTTCGTGCTATCTCTCTCTCCAAAATAAATAGCACCAGGATAGGTGAGTAGCAAATCGTAATCATAAAGTAAATGATACTTTGCCTGTTTTTCTAATTGCGCAATATACCATTCTTTTATCGCAATTTACTAGAAATGATAGTTGCGTTTACGACGAAGCTTCGTTAATGACGCATATAATACGCAGCTTAATACTTGAACTATACACATTACCAGATTCAGCTTTCCCATTTTCTCCAACATAGTGTCCATCTTGAATTTTGTCGATTAAACTCTTCTTCAAACGTTTGCCCTTTCAAACCGCGAACTGAAATGTCTTGTGCCGAGTATTCGTTTGAAAGTTGCTCGCTTAGCATGCGAGGATTACCAATATTTGTCGATAAGTAAAGTGATGTTACATCGTGTCCCAGAATAAAGCGTATAGTTTAGCGCATTTATAATATTTTAATGCTTCATCCTGTAAAGATTGTGGAAATTATACGTGACGTTTAAGATCTCTTCTTTTTGATATATAGTCCTTTTGAGCGGATGAGATATTTGTGGTTCTTTCTGAATACTTGCAGAGTTGATGTGTTATATTTCACCTTTTTATATTTCATGATAGATTTTATTTACGTTTATTTACGTTAGTCTTTCTATTTCTTTTTCTGTTCTCAGTTACATGATCTTTTTGATTCTTGAAAATCTTTGCTTAATTCAGAATTAAGATTTTTTATGTTATTTAAAAGAAGGTAAGAAATATTGAATAATATTTGAAAGACTTGGAGAGACTGCAATTTTATTTTTATTTAAAATTTTTTGCAATAATAAAATTAGTTAACTTTAAAAGATCAATATTATACTAATTTTCTTCTTTATCACTGCTAAATAGTAATTTTTCTTACAAAAATTTTCTTTGATATATATATTTTCTTATTTCCTTATTTCTAAAAAGAAGTTAATCTTAAATTAATTTTGAAAATAAAATTCTAGATTTTGTTTTACAATAAATAATAATTTAATAAACTTCAACCGTATTATTGTCATATTATAAAATTTATCATCGTGTTTATCCTATCAATTTATCGATCAAATTATTGATTAACTTATTGATTAGTTTATTAATCACTTTGATATCTGTTTCTATAATACAATTTATTTTCAAATTATAATAAAATAATCCAGCAATATTAGCTTGTT